TAATTTGGAAGCTCTGCTGAAGCCTGGCCACCTTGAGTAACCTGGTATTTGAAAGACAGGTGGCATAGCTTCCAGTATCACAGCAACCCACAAGTTACCCTAGTACAGCAAACCAGCAGAACAGGGTTATTCTATTAAGAGCAAACAATACACAAGAAAGCATACATAGGTTTTAAACTGAAGCTCTTGATTCATTTTGAGCTAGATTTTTGTATGCCATGGATCTTGTATGAATGCATCAGTTAATATGGATCCTATTGTGTAGGTCTTTGTAAACATTTACTAAACAAATGCTGCATAATGAAGTCTTCTGAAAGCAATCTTATACTTGAACAAGCTGTTAGATACATCAAAGTAGCATTTTGAATCAAAGGATATTTGTACTTTTAATTTTGATATGCTTGTTTGCTGTTGAGTATGAATCAATTTATAGCTGACACTCCAATGGGTTTTCAGAGGCAGTTTAATTGCAGATTGTCCATCCTTCTCCCACAGAGAAGCTGATGAATTTAAACCACCTTTTGATTTTTAATATAAAATGTTGGATTTTAAGCTCACGATTCTATTGATTTACACACTGCCTTGCTTCCTTAATTTTTGCCAACAGTTGCCTTTTCTGGTATTTAATAAGAATCAGGTTTAACTTCTCTATAGCTTTCTAGGTTTTCTGGTTTGTTTTTAGTGAGTTTGAAGACTTTTGTACTTAACAATTTTTATCTTTCCCAGTTTACTGTGCAGATCTTCCATATATTTTTGCCTAAAAATATTTAAATTTTAAATACTGATCTAATTCTACATAAAACTACATTTTAACTTCTAGAATTTCTTAATAGCTGCTATTAAAAATGGAAGGAGCATTGTATTAACAATATAGTGGGTTTTGTGCTGGGATACTAAAATTATAAGCCCCCCCCCCCCGTTTGAATTCACTAGATGTTCATAGAAAGGTGAAGCAGTTTGTCTTGTTAAGATCTAGAACTGTGGGACCCCAGAGGAAGGTCATCAGGAGTTAGAAGAGAGCAAGTTTGGTATGGGACATTTTAAACGGGGGTCTTCATTCTCCTACTAGAATTTCTGTGTACTTGATACGTATTTGCAGATTTCCCATTAATGTCACATTAACTTACTGTTGTGGAATATTGGGGAGGAAGGGAAGACCTCTGGCCACGATGGGTAGCCTGAGCTCCAGACAGGTGCAAGCCTCCCAATGGCCTTTAATAGGGGGTAGAGAAAGCTGGAAAATATGGGCTTGGTGATAGAAATGAGGCTGGAAACATTCAGAATGATTAAATTTTGTATTTACAATGATTTCTTCATTGCAAATGCTTTTTCTAAAAGACACAAAAGATGACTTTACACGTCAGTTTCACCCAATGAGCTGCATAGGAATCTGATTGACTATGTTTGTGGAAGAAATCACTGGAGCTTCGTTATAAGCAGCCAAAACTAGGCCGGGGCCAACTGTGGTTTAGATCCTCAATTACTCACATGCAAGTTCAAATTGAGGCCAAAGAAAATTAAAGTCCACAGGAACCAAGATAGGATTTTTTTAATGCCATTAGAATTTCATGATCGTTTTAAGAATAGGTTTGAGGCACTGAACACCAATCATAAAAGACCAGATGAGTTGTGGGTGGGATGATATCAAGGATATCATCCAGGAAGAAAGCAAAAGGTCATTACTGAAACAGAGGAGAAAGAAACCGAAATGCTGAAATGGACGTTAGAATATAGCACTGGAATGCCAGGAAGCCAAGTCTAGAGGAAAACATATCAAAGTAAAAGGGTCGGACAGTTTCAAAGGGCAGCTCTGGAGGACAAGGCAAAGTAGTATAACAGAATGTGGAGAGAGCTGGAATTGGAGAATAAAAAGGGAAGAACTTGCTTTGCATTTCTCAAGCTAAAAAACAAAGTTAAGCCTCGTGTCACAATGTTGAAAGATACCATGGGGTAATGTATTAAATGACCCAAAAAACATCAAATGATGAAGGACAGTCACTGTACCAGAATTGACACTGAAAAATTTCAGGGAGTACCATATGAACAGGAACCAATAGTAATAAAAGAGAAGTGGAAGCTGTACTGAAGGCACTGGCAACATATAAGGCCCCAGCAATCAATGGGATACTAATTGGTTTGTTTTCATTAAGTGATACAGCCTTGGAGGCACTCACCAGTCTATGCCAGGAAATTTGGAGGATGTTGTCTGGCCAATGGATTGGAAGAGGTCTATATGCAGAAGGCTGATGCAACTGAATGAAGAAATTATCAAATAGTATCACTGATATCACATGTAAGCAAAATACTGAAGATCATTCAAAAACGGCTGGAACAGTTCATAGGTAGGGATTTTCTTCCTTATACTGGAATATATAGTAATTAAAGTGAACTACAATGTGTCCACAGGTACATATCACAATATAAACTAAAAAAAGGCATTTTAAAAAGTATAGGCTTACCTCATTTATTGAACAGGCTTTATTGCAATTTGCGGAGACTGCACATTTTACAAAGTCAAAGTGTGATTAGAGCAAGTCTGTTAACCCAATTTTCTCAAGTGCTCACTTCCCTGTCAGTGTGGTAATTCTCAAAAGTATTTCAAGCTATAGCAGGGTAGTATAAACATTTTATACACATTGGGAAACACTCCCATGATATGCTTTATTGTGCTGATTGCTTTACTAGTGGTCTGAAATCAAACTTTCTCCAAGGAACGGTATGCCTACAACATGTGAAACTATTTACAAATTATGTTCCATAAACATTAATTTTACCTTCATTTTGATGAAGGCATCAAGTTTTCTAATTCATGTCTTAAATGTTCATGGATTGCTGATACGCAATAAAATAAATATATGGGAAAAGATATAAACTTCAGGCATAGTGGTTACTTTTGAACAAAATGGGAGGAGGGTAAACTAGCAAAAGCATATAGACTTCTTCATTGTTACTGTTACATGTCCTGAGCGGCACAGCTGACCCTGTTTTCAGAGGCTGTAAATTGCAGGTGATAATGTACAGCTCTCTCATGAAGCAGCTGGTAAATTCGAACTGCCTGCCTTTGGGTTGGTAGCACAGCAATAAACTCTGAAGCAAGATTATGTAAATTACTTCTCTGCTTCATCACAGTTGAGTATCTAATCATTGTTAGGTGCTATTGAGTATGACTCATAGCCATCGAGTCACACTCAACAGAAAAACAGATCTGAACCCTGCACAGTCTTGTGCCATCCTCACAATGTGACACTCAAGCCCACTGTTGTACTGTGTCAATCTACCTGGCTGAGGGTCTTCCTCTCTTTTCCACCCCACCATCTTTCCAACCATGATGCACTCCAAGGAACAGCCCCTTCTAGCAACATGCCCAAAGTATGCAAGACAAAACTTCGTCGTCCTTGCCTCCAAAGAACAAGACATTTATCTCGTTCAAGACATTTATCTGCTTTTTCTTTTGGCAGTCCATGGGTTATTCAGTACTCTTCTCTACCACCACAGCTCAAAGGAACCTCAAATAGATTTCCTCTCTTACAATCCTGAGTATTAAAATTAGAATCTGAATGCCATGTTAAGTATACAAAATAATCAGGATTTGTCAAAACATGTTTGGAGATAATATAAATAAAAATTCTGGCTCAACTATTTTTCAGGTCAAATGCAACCATAGTTGTTTAGTATAGTGGAAACTGCAAGGAGGGTAGGTAGACATGAGAGTTACTGATGATGGAATTTAAGACATTTCATTACTTATCCCCAATTAGAAATAGTACCAGAAGTAATCTTTTCTTTTAGCTGGGATGTAATGAATATGCACTCACAAAAGTAATCTGTTCTAAATTGTATCAACAGCCTTATTGTTATGAGCCATCAGATCAATTATGACACTGAAACCCCATGATCATCAGCTCTGAACCTTGCCCTAATCGAAGCCAACTTCACATTCATGGCACACCTGACCCCATTGCCACAGTACCTCTGTCAATCCATCTCACCCAGGATATTCCTGTCCTTTGTGTGTTGACCCTCCACCCTTCCAAACATGATGTCCTTCTCCAAGAACTAGCCTGACAACATGCCCACAGTTTGTGAGGCAGAGCTTCAAACTCCTTGCCTCCAAAGGGCAAAGAGACTTCACCTTCTTGAGAACATATCTGTTTGTTCTTCTTCTGTCACCTTTATCCACTGTTTAGCTCTCAGATGTACAGGAAGCAACTGAGATGACCATGGCCCAGATCAGGTCCACCTTAGCCTCTAGAATGACATTATTAGCACTCTGAAGGGGTCTTTGACAGATTTTTCAATACAACTTGTCTTCCGACTGGAGGTAAAATAAAAATCAAACACACAACAGCTATGGAGGATTACTTAGAATCAAGCAGATGGCAGTGAGAATATCTAGATTCATATATATAAAATTATACAGATTGGCAATGCATGATACATAGATGGTAAACAGATTGCCATAAGTAAATTCCAACTCAGAGCAACTCAGTATAATGCAGTATAATTTATAAAAGCACCTAGAACTTTGTGACTGACACCCATACACATCAATCTAAATTTAACATATGTCCAATTTCTGCCATATTTGCTTCAACATGTTATTGTTGGGTTAGACTTATTTTTTAAAAAATATATTCTTTTTAAGGAATAGAACTGTCACACAATTTACAAATAAATCTTAATGGAAGTAGACTGCCACATACTTTTCTTTGCATAGTTGATGGTGGGTTTGAACTGCTAACTACGTAAAATATTTTGTCTTTATGAATTGGTGCTATATTCTGATAGTAATAGATTTCACTTAAAGACTTAAAAAGTGATCTAGGGTGTCACAGGAACAGAAGCAAATCAATCTTTTAGGTTATAATGAGTATCTTTCACTCCTACTTAAATAAAAATGAAAGCACTAATCTCAAACAAAATTTACAGTATAACAACAGACAAGACACAATCCAAGTACAATTTTTTAATAAAGATAATTACAAAAGATGGGAAAAAAATCAGCTCAGAAAGGCCAATTACTTCTTTAATAGATCAGTTTTTGACATAATAACTCACATCAGTTTTAAATACTATCACATAAAGCATGGTGGAGAAAAAAAATTTGCTTCATAATTAGAAAAACAATAAAACCTGCCAAGAAAAAAAAAAAACAAAACAAAAAAAGCCTTTTTGAAAATAAATACAGTCCATGCCAAAGTAGTATAAAATGAAGCCAGGAGTCTCCTTCAAAAAGAAAACATTTTTCTTCCAAATATGTTCTCACTTTTTTAGTTTCCTGAAATTGGTGACTCAAATTCAAGGATTGCTGAGCTGCTCTGATTTGGCTCTGTTAAAAGAAAGAAGAAATTTTAAAAATGCACAATCTTAGTTTAACGGCACTAAGTTATTGATCAAATCCTGTAGGCTCATGCCAAGAAAAGCCCAAGCTGATAATGCCTTAAGTATCTTTGGAGCTCTGAATGCCTTAAACTTTTCCTAATTGTTCTCTTAGTTTCCCGGTCTATCCCAAGACAACCTGCAAAGGCTAGCACTGAATTATGTGCAGCCAAGTGTTTACTTGTTTTCTAACAATGAAAATCTATACTCTTAGCCCTATGGATATTTTTAAGATAATTTTTTTTGTCTTTAGAATATACACGTAACATACATAAATTGAACATCTTCTACATGCACAATTAACAATGATTGTTTCTCCATTAACATCAACTCACTGCCTCTAAATTTCTTACCTAATATCTTTTAGATTGACCATCAATTTGATCTCATTGTAGATAAATCCTAAAAAGAGCACAATACTCAAGACAGTCATTCTTTACTAGCTAAGGTAAACTATGGTTTAATTTTAAGACTTCTGATAATAATTTTGGTTTAAATAAAGATTATTTTAGGGCAACAGTTCCCAGGGTTCACTGAGCTTCCATCTACAGCTCCCAAAATGGTGTTTTCCGAGTGTATTTGAAATTCTGTCCTTTTGAGCTGGATTCTTCTGCAGATTATTGGTCAAAATGTTTAGTAGTCAAGTACCAGAGAGTTCTTCTTGCCTCATGGAAATGGAGGCAGCTATTCTTTGAAGAAAATGAGTCACACATTTCCTTCTCCTTTTCTACTTCCAAGTCCCCCTCTTCTATTGCTCCTAAGAAGTGCCTGAATGGCTAGTTTAACAGGTTTAAGTTTCTAAAACCCTAAAAAAAATACACATCAAACATGGGAAAGTGACCCACTGCTGCCATCTAGTGTGTTTTCAGAGTTTATAAATTACACAGTAGGCAACTGCCCATTTTTCTCCTGCAGAGCCAACAGTGGATTCAAACCACCAGATGCATCACCTATGAGTTGGCAGTGCAACTCAGTCCAACTACGCCATTAGAGTTCCCTTTACGACTCCAGGAACAAAATAACGAAATAGGAAGTAGAAGAGAAGCAACAATCTCAGCTGAGCAAATAATTGGAATGTTCCATGAAGCTTTGGCCCTAAAACCTCCAAACCAAGGCACAAAATGCCTACTGTACATAAGCAGCCTCCTCAGTGTTACCCTCCCATCCTCACATTCTTGTCAATATATCACACAGCGTTCTGCCAATTCTTTTTTTACAGGTATACAACTTATTGATGAGAACTGTTATAATAATGAAATTTACCATCACTATAAATGGAAACTCAGTAATCCTCAATAGGTATTTTCTACCTTTTCTCCTTCTTTGATCTGTATATTTGCTTGTTCTTATCTTCTTCTGTGAGGTCAGACAACATTTGCCCTTTATGACTGACTTATTTCAGTCAGTATACACTCACTCCTCATTTAGGAACTATCTCATGCCTGACATTTACATTAATGCAATAGCAATAATAAAATACCTACTTATCTGACCACTGTGTGCAACATACACCTCACAAGATTGAATGCCAAGGCATGAGAGTACTTCTGGCTGTGAAGGTCAAGGCTAGGTTTCAACTTGGCTGAACCATGATTTTCAGTTTAGCAGTTATGTAGTCATCCATTCTGTAGCCTGATAAGGTCCTCCATTTTCATATATTTCCAATTTTTACTAACAAACTGGTCTAAAAAACTGAACCATGTCAGTAAATGAGGTGTGTATATAAGCATCGTTTAACTATGTCCACACCATAGCGAACAGGAGGACTTCATTCTCTTACTGTTTCAATAGCATTCCATTCTATAGACATACCACATTTTGTTATACACCCATCTACTGATGGGCAGTCAGGTTCTTCATGCCTTTGGGCTACTGGGAACAACATTATAATGAATATTAATGATATCCTGCTTTCAATTATTCTGGCTATGCCCCCTAGGAATAGAATTGTTGGATCCTATGATAGTTGTTCTTTTAGGTGGTGTGTTTTGGCTTTTTTTTTAGGAATTATCAGTTTTCCACAATGATACCATTTTGCACCACTAGTAATGGATAAAAATCCCAAATTCCTCACGTGCTTATTACATATAAAGCATATAAAAGTTACTAGATAGTATTAATTTACCCTTTGGTATCAGTTTTTTCACCACTACTGTCCTTAGATTTATCTTCTTCCTTAACATCTAAAGAAAAAAAATGGAAAGATAAGTTAAGACCTTATTTTGAAATACAACACACATACAAACAATACTTTGAAAATATAAGATGTTTTAAAAAAAATAAAAATAAAGAAAATATAAGATGTTTTCAAAGATAATTTTCTTACTAATGCCTTTGAGCTGTGGTGCTGGAGAAGAGTGTTGAATATACCATGGACTGCTAGGAGAACAAACAGGTTTGTCCTGGAGAAGGTGAAGCCAGAGTGTTCCCTGGAGTCAAGGATTCTGAAGCTTCGTCTGACATATTTTGGGCACGTTGCAAGGAGGGACTGGTCCTTGGAAAGGGACATCATGTTTGGCAGAGTGGAGGGGAAGCGAAGGAGAGGAAGACCTTTGGTGAGATGGATCAATTCTGTGACTGGAGCGGTGGGAATAAGTGCGTTTGAGATGGCTAGGTTGGCACAGGATAGAACAGCATTTAGAGCTCTTGTACATAGGTTTGCTATGAGTCGCAAGCGACTCGATGGCACCTAACAACAACAACAACAACGAATGTGAAAATTGAAATACTTCATTGTTAAAGAACAGAGCCTGAAGCTATTACTCAGTAATTGACTGGACTGGTTATTGCCCTTTGCAACTTCTGGTTCTGTAAGAAAACAGCATTAGTGATACAGCATTGTGTGGGACTGGGAAAGTATCATAAATAACATTTGTTTGGAAAAAGGAATACATTTAGAGGTAGAAAAATACAGTAAACAAGAAAAACTAAGAAGGAATTGACAGAGTAGAAGTACTGAAATAAAGCTAAGGTGGCTGGAGTAGAAAAAGAAATGTCCAAAGAGATGAGAGACTCAAACCATAAAAAAATGGTAATTCTAACTTTAGAATTGTTTATAAAAAAAAAAAAGAATTGTTTATAATTTTAATGTCAGTCCATCTTACATAAACAATGTGCTGTAAATGTGCTATTAAATTTTCTAAAATAAGCAAAAGAACCAAAGAGGTGATGGATGGCCTAGTAACAGAGATAGAGCAAAACATCAATACTAATACATATTTACACACATTTATGACATTAATTTCAACTTCTTGCTTGGTTCTGGCTAATAACTCACACATCAAAATGCGATTGGGGAGAACAAAATAAAGGAACAGTCAGAGCTCTAGGTTCTGGACTACCCATTTTTTTAAAAGCTTGCTGTAATAAAATGTCTTTTTACCCGTGTTGTTGTTAGGCGCTGTCGTGTTGATGACTACGCACAGCAACCCTATGTACAACATATCTGAACCCTGTCCTATTCTGTGCCATCCTCATCATTTCTGACACACTAGAGACCACTGCTGCAGTTACTGTGTCAACCATCTCACTGAGGATCTTTCCTTTTTTCACTGACCCTCCAATCTTCCAAACATGAGGTCCCTAAAGTATGTGAAATGAAGTTTTGTCATCCTTGCTTTCAAGGAGCATTCTATCTGTAGGCTGAGAGATTTTTAAGAATCTCAAGTCTTTTACGAGTTCCAGCACCAAAAAGAGAGTTGTACCTTTTTAAAAAAACTATATCATAAAAATTAATGTATAGGAATGTTTGTACGAAAACCAAATAAAAACATTAAGGATGCTTTAATTATTAGGATCCAGAACAAGAGAAGCAGCTTATTCATACATCTTAAATATGACAGAAACAGAAAAACATCAACATGGTACAGTTTTGCCACCAAATTTCGTAACTAAAACCTAATGCTTATCACCATTATTTGCATCCTGATATGTGGTATCCTCCAGTAGGAATGGCATCAGGTGCTAAGAATAGAAGTATTTATATATTCTCTAACTCTGAGGAGAGCTCTCTATACAAAGGACAAACATAAAACTCTATAACGAATGCTGCAATGTTGTTGTTTTGTGCTGCTCAGCAGAGTCTGACTCAGCAACCTTATGAACAACAGATCTGAACCCTGACCTATCCTATGCCATCCTCATTATTGCTGACATACTCAAGCCCATTGCAGATGTCACTGTGTCAATCCATCCGGTTGAAGGTCTTCCTGACAGATATGTATAAAACGCTCTAGCAATGAAAATAAAAGTAACAAGTTCTTAGCCGGAAATGTCTATTTTCTCATTAGACAATTGTATTTTTGCAATTTTCACTTTGAGGGTAAGGCATGAGCACTGCTTCTCTCTTCCAGTTTTCCTCACAAATCTTTGTCTAGAGATTTTCCTAAAATTAATTTCTGCAGATAATTTGAGAAAAGTCTATCATCAGAACATTTAAAACAAAGGGTCAAACTAGTCTAACAATAATAATAATGCTCTTGTTTTAGGCTGTATTACAATTTTATACACTTTAGGTAATTCAAGAATTAACTTAGATTTCAGATCTGCTAACAGACTATAAACCACTTTAACTTCTCTTTTATTCAATATGCATCAGTCCAATACTCAACATCTTAACACATATGATATCAAGAAAAGGTAGTGAGACTTTTCTTATATCATAAAAGAAAATGTGAATGGTAACATTTAAATATCTCTAAAATATATATTTAAGAACCAAAGAAATAATTACATTAAAAGATGAGTCACTCACTCATCTATATTTAATGTAACTTATTTTAAGGTATCACAGAAATCATAATGTGGCTCATTTTAAAAAGTTTTTCTTTAAAAACACAAAGCAAAAAAGAAAGCTGACCTGCTTTTTTGTCCTCAGTTTCCTTCTTATCTTCTTCTATTCTAGCTTTTTTTGCTCCTTTCTTATGATCAGCTACATTTCTTCGACCTCCTTCTCCTTCATCCTCTGAATCTGAGAATTCTTCATCACAGGCTATCCGCTTGTCTGATGCACGAACTGAAAAAGAGTTTAATGCATCTTGAGAACAATTAGAGGTTTTATAATCATTATCACACATTCATGTACATATGTACCAATTAGTTACTATATTTTAATATGCAGAACAACAGATGCTTACCTTTGCTTGGATATACAAAGAAATAGTTCAAAGAAACATGAAAAACATATGGACATCTCATTAAAAAAATACCCTAGAACTCTGAAGGAAAAAACCCACACTGTCTTTTCTATTCAGTGATATAACATCTTTATTTTCAAAACCTTTTATTTCAGCAGAGAAGGAAAAGATCATTTTAAAAAACCAAACAAAACCCAAACTCCATTAATAATGTTAAAATAATTTATAATATCTTAGCATATCAAAATGCTACAAACATATGAAATAACAAGGTGAAAAAGAGGTTGTAAAATTAACAAAAGGTATTTAGTGTTCTTTAATTTATCCTAATCCAATTCAATTCAAATACACATTAGTGGTTAATTTGTGTAAACTTTTTTTCAATTTTATATGTAAATTAATAAACTGAAACTAATGACACTCAAACTAGGATCTCTGATATCTTTATATCTGAATGTGTGGGGGGGATGACAAGCTACATGAGATGAAAAACAGAGTAAGTGTGCTCATAAAATGTGACCAAGAGCAAATTTCAACCTTCAACCTGTATTTATTTCAATGAGACAGAAAACCAAAACCTAACACAAATCAAGCTTTTGCTTACTTGAAATCCTCTTGTCTGGATCTTCTCCATCTTCATCTCCACTATCTTCATGAACAGCATCTTCAGGAATAGCCTGCATCTGGACACCCGGTGCATGAGGTAACATGCGTAGATTTTCAAATAAACGCTGCCTGCATCACAAATGAAAAATAACTATAATATAATAACTATACAAAATTTATTTTCTGTGGTGGAAACATCAAGCAACAAATTTTACCTTTCATCTAGCTAAAATTTAATTAAAATAAGTGATACTAACATTTAATGAACATAACACATACTAACTCATTTACTCTTCAAAATTTATAAAATAGGAATTATTTTAATTTCAATGATTAGGAAGTTAAAGAATGATTAGTTTGTCAAACATGATATAGTTAATTTACAGTATAGTAGCAGTGAAGGCATAAGCCTAGGTAAACCAGGCCTATGTACTACATCTCTAAAGACAAGACAGAATTTTTCCAAAATGTTTCAGACAGTAAAAACAGATCTCAAATTCCTGTACATCAGTGAAGTATAAAATTTAGTGCCCCATACAAGTTTAAAATCCATTATAAATAATAATAGAAAATAGGAAAATTTGCTCTATGAAGCCATATACCATTTCCATTCATTTACAGTTAAAATAATCTGTATCCATCTTCTAAAGCTTTCAATGTGAACAAAAGATATTTATTAAAGCAAATCAACGGTTTCTTACTTGATCTTTTCCATATATTCTGGAGTGTTTTGGTTTGTCATATTTGATGGACTAATATGTAGTTTGAAGTCTGGTCCAAAATATTCAAAGTAATCATTATATGGTAATTCTATAAAAAAATACCAATATACAAAGGTATGTATCACTCAGTTTTTACACAAATTCACAAATCATCCCCCCACACACACATTCAGGTTATAAAATATTTTAAAAGGAAAAATCTGGTCAGTATTAAATGAATTCACAACAAAAGCTCCCTTAGATATGGTTTAGAAATGCTGATGTCCATCATTTCTATATATATTAACAGTCAATCAAATAAAGACATCACAGTTAGGACCACTTACCATTAGGAATCTCACAATCAAGGGCAACTGCAGTTTCATACGTCCAACATCGAGCGACATTGCGGATTGTGTATCCACCTCCACCAAGCATCAGTAATGGTAAGTTGAAAGTTTTTACAACTTCTACACATTTAGCATGACCTAATACAAAGATGATTTAGGTAACAACAAGTCAATATAAAGTAACAGCCTTTAGAAAGCAATTTTAAAATATAAAAATGCAAACAAATTTTACCCAAGCAAAATGAAAAATTTTTTAGCATAGAATATGATAAAAAATTTCAAAGGAATGTTCAGTCTTAAATTTTGGATCAAACAATGCTTAACTATTAGAAATATATGTTTTCCTTAAATTATTGCTGAGAACATACACAGCAGAGTATACACCAATTCAACTGCTTCTACGGTGATATGGATTATCTTCAAGTTGTACAACCCTCAATTTCTGAGTGAGAGACACAATGAACACAAATTTACTGTCTAATCTTTTATGTCCTTTCCAACTCTTCGAGGCTGATGTTAATTTGGTGAGAACTACAAACAGTGTAACAGTCATGGCAAACATTCTTTACTAGTTAAACTATTATTTGGACTTATGAAGACTTCACGGAACATGTTTGGTTTAAGGTTTAAAGATTATTTCAAAGGGCAATAGTTTCCCACATTCATCTAGCCTCCATGGCTCCAGAGAGTCTGAATTAAAAACACAGTTTGTTGTAATAGACAAAACTTGCATCTTAAAATTCATTTTTGGGGAAAAATTAATTTCTTTAAAGAGAAAAACAAAATCATGAATTAAGCTCACATACTTCCAAGTACAGGCAGTTGGCCAAAGAAAAATATTTTTTTATTTCTTTTACCTCTAAAAGGATTTTTTTTTCAAGGCTGCTGTTGTTATTTGCCATCAAGTTGACCACAACTCATAGCAACCATGGCCGATGCTGCTCCATCCTCACTGTCTCCCCACGTGCTCTAATTGATACAGTCCTTGTATCAATCCACCTCACTGGAGGTTGGCTTCTTTTTTTGCTGACTCCTTACCCTTCTCAGAATTTTGTCTTTCTCCAAGGACTGTTATCTCCTCACAACATGTGAGATGAAGTTTCATCCTCACTGACTCTAGGGAGCACCCTGGCTGCACAGCCTCTAAGGCAGACTTGCCTGTTCTTTTGATAGTCCATGGGACATCAGTAGTCTTCTCCAACACCACAATTCAAAGGCATCAATTAATTTTTCTGTCATTCTTATTAATTTTCCAAATTACACAGGCATAAGAAGCAAAGGAAAGTAACATGTCTTAGATGGGGCACATCTTTAAATGGAGATTGCTGCTCTGTAACACTTTAGAGAGGGCCTTGATATGTTTTCCAAATTCAACATGTCTTTTGAAATCATGTACAACTTCAGTCTTTGCTCCATCTATCATGATGGTGTCTATTAGTGCAATGGTGAAGATTTTTATTTTGGTGAAGTTGAGATGTAATTCAAATTAAAGGCTGTGTAGTCTTTCATCAATGCTTAATTTCTGCAAGCAATGTTGTGTCATCTGCATAATACGGGTTGCTGATGAGTTTTCCTCCAATCTAGATGCAACATTTATCTTCCTACAGTCCAGTATTAAAAGAAGATGGAAAGAATATACTGAGTCACTGTATCGAAAGGAATTGGCAGACACACAAGAATGAGCAAGAGCCTATGGTGATGAAAGAAGTCGTTCAGGCTGCTTTGAAGGAAAACGGCAAAAAATAAGGCTCCAGGAAGAGATGGTATACCGACTGACATATTTCAGCTAACAGATGCTGCCCTGGACGTGCTCACCAAGTTGTGCCAAGAAATCTGGAGAACAACCACTTGCCAACTGACTGGAAGAGATCTATATTTGTTCCCATCCCAAAGAAAGGTGACCCAACAGAGTGTGGAAACTATAGAACAATCTCACTGATTTCATATGCAAGCAAGACTTTACTGAAGATTATCCAAAAACGGCTGGATCAGCACATCAGCAGAGAACTACCAGAAGCCCAGGCTGGGTTTAGAAAGGGTCATGGTACTAGGGATATTGTAGCTGATGTTAGATGGATCTTAGCTGAAAGCAGGGAATACCAGAGGATTATCTATCTATGTTTCATTGACTATGCAAAGGTGTTTGACTGTGTGGATCTTAACAAACTCTGGCTGACTCTGAGAAGAATAGGAATCCCAGAACACTTGATCGTTCTAATGCGAAACCTATACTTGGACCAGGAAGCAGTCGTCAGAACAGAGCAGGGGAACAGTCCATGGTTCAAAATTGGGAAGGGCGTACGCCAGGGATGTATCGTATCTCTATACCTTTTCAACCTATGTGCAGA